TATCTAACCTTCCATTTCTCTCTAAGGTTCTGGAGAAAGCAGTTGCTAAACAGCTGTGTGACTTTCTACAGAGCAATAGTTTATTTGAGGATTTTCAGTCAGGATTTAGAGCTCATCATAGCACAGAGACAGCACTGGTGAAAATTACTAACGACCTCCATATTGCATCAGACAAAGGACTTGTCTCTGTACTGGTTTTATTAGATCTTAGTGCTGCATTTGATACCATTGACCATCAGATCCTATTACAGAGACTGGGACATTTCATTGGCATTATTGGAACCGCTCTAAGCTGGTTTAAGTCCTATTTATCAGATCGATTTCAGTTTGTACATGTTAACGATGAGTCCTCCATGCACGCCAAAGTTAGTCATGGAGTTCCTCAAGGATCTGTCCTCGGACCAATCCTCTTCACTTTATATATGCATCCTTTAGGCAATATTATCAGGAAATATTCCATAAGCTTTCATTGATATGCAGATGATACTCCATTATATCTATCGATCAAACCAGATGAAACTCATCAGTTAGCTAAACTTCAAATGTGCCTTAAGGATGTTAAAACCTGGATGACCTGTAATTTTCTAATGTTAAACTCAGATAAAACTGAAGTTATTGTTCTGGGGCCTAAGCACCTCCGTGACACATTATCTAAAGATATAGTTTCCCTTGATGGCATCACCCTGGCCTCCAGCACCACTGTGAGGAATCTTGGAATTATCTTTGATCAGGACATTTCGTTTAAGTCTCACATTAAGCAAATTTCAAGGACCGCCTTTTTTCAGCTATGTAATATTGTGAAAATCAGGAACATCCTGTCTAAAAATGATGCAGAAAAACTAGTCCATGCATCTGTTACTTCTAGGCTGGATTACTGCAATTCCTTATTATCAGGCTGCTCGAAAAAGTCCGTTAAGACTCTTCAACTGATCCAGAATGCTGCAGCACGTGTTCTGACAGGAACCATTCTTCTTACCTACAAAGCTCTTAATGGTCAGGCACCATCTTTAATCTGTAATCCAACAGAATCAAAGGCCTTCTCAGCATCGACACTTTTTCAGTTTTCCATATATGATCCATAATGTGTTGTGTTCTCCATATATTATCCTGTGTTTGTCGTTTTATGAAACCTGTCTGATCATTATGTATCAATGTTGGCAGAAACTTTTCTAACCGTTTGGCCATAATGGATGTAAATAACTTATAATCTACAATAAGAACAGATATTGGTCTAAATGATCCACATTCCATTTTGTCCTTGCCTTCTTTTGGTATAGCTGAGATTATTGCCTCTTTCCAGGTGGGTGGCGTTTGCGCCTTTTTTAAAACCCAGTTTAGTGGGGGAAGTAAACCGGTATTAACTCATTTTTAAGTTCCTTATACCACTTTGCTGTATAGCCATCCTATCCTGGTGATTTGTTTGATGTAAGTCTACTAATGGCAGCTTTTAATTCATCTTCAGTTATGTCAGCAGTTAATATTAAATTTTGGTCTTCATTTAAAGTAGGTAGCTCTATTCAGGTAAGTGTCAATTTGGGTAACACTTCCCCCTGGTACGTTAGAATACAAAGTTTTGTAAAACACTGTAAAGGCTTTCTGAATTTCAGTTATTTTATTTTTAACCATTTTTGTCCTTGGATCCTTAATTTTGTGAATTGTAGTTTCTGCCAGTTTCCATGCCAATACTTTCATAGATATAGATCCATTTCAGTCTCTGTTTCAGGAACATGAGTTTTTTCTTGATATCTTATGTAGCCAAACTATCAATTTTATTCCTAATTTGTTTTATTTCCTTTAGTATACCTTGTAACCAAACTCAATTTATGTTTTCTTTCTATCTCCTTCAGGTTGTTTTGTGATTCCTCTGTTTTATTTCTCATTTTTTTTCATGTATGAAGATATTGCTATGATCTTTCTTTTTAATACAGCCTTCAGTAAGTGTCACACAAAATGGGAAGTGAAACCTCCCCATTATCGTTGAACTCCAAATAAAGACTTCCATAAAACAGAGATCACGGAGTAAACTAGAATTTAGTTTCCATGTATTATTTTTTGGTCGTAAATTAAAATCAACAGATAAATAAATAGGGCATGTTCGCTTAAATCTATCGTTCCGATTTCGCAGGTGCTTATTTTGTCTTTGTCTTTTCCAAATGTTATAGTAAGTAATCTATTCTTGTATATAGAGAGTGGGGTGCAGAGTAATGAGTATAGTCCCTTTAATCAGGGAATAGGTCCCTCCATACATCAATTAGACCAACTTCCTCAAAAAGTGTATTGACTTTCTTATGTAAAGACTTTCTATCATGCGTTTTTCCACTGGAAGAGTCTAACTTTGGTTGCAGGTGTATATTTAGATCTCCTCCACAGATCAGGAGGCCTTCTGTTTCAGTTACCATGATGCTACTGAGTTTCTGAAAGAAGCTTATATCACTACCTGGGGGTGCATATACATTCAACAGAGTAACTGAATTACCCTCTAGATTCTCCCTAACTAAAATAAATCTGCCCTCCTACTTCGAATACCTAAAAAAATAAAATTTAGCTTCCTTGAGATGAGAATAGCAACTCCTCTCCTGTGTCCTGATTTATAGGAGGAGTAAATTATATTAGTGAACCCCATTCTCTTCAGTTTTGCATGCTCATTATCTTTTAAATGGGTTTCCTGCGTTTGACATTAACACAGCCCATTGACATTAAAATAAACAAATTTCACCTTTTCACCAACCATATATGTTTGATTGACAGTGTAGTCTCAAAATTAACCAAATGAAACATATTAGATCTACTCCCTGGGAAAACAAGAATAAAGAACATAAATGCACAAACAGTTAAATAAAACTGAAAAAACTACTAAAAAAGTGTGATTCCAAGGCTGGGGTGTCTAACAGATGAACCTGAGCTGGGCTAGAAGGAACATCTAGCTGTGGGCGAAGGCCTTCTCCATCTATGAGCTGAGGGCCCCCACTATGGCATCTGAGAAAATAAAATAAAAAGTCTCTGTCCATTAACACAGAAGAGTCTGTGTATTCCTCACATGTTGTAATTCACATTTAAATAGGGAAATGGAAGCGAATGCAGGTCATATTATAGAGTAATAATAATGAGATCTATATCAGTCTACTTAGGCCAAATATAACACTGTTTACTGTTTAGCTCACCAATCATTTAAACGTTATTCAGAGTCCTTCAGGAGGGGTCGAAGGCTGTCTTCTGTCAGCTCGCAGTCTCCTTGATGTTCTTCTCTCGCTCCTCTCCCGACACCAGTGTCTTGCACCTCTCACAGTTTTCCAGGTGGAGCAGAACAGCTGCTCGGCCAGGCTCTCCCTCTGTACTGTCACCTTGATGGGCAGCCCTCTATCTTTCATATCTGTAGTCACCTCCTCCACTGTCTGGTACAGCCGTGTCCCGTTTTCATAGAATACTCGTAGTTTGGCAGGGAACGGGGTCTGGAAGCGGATCTTGCTCTGCTTTAACACTTGCTTCGCTTACAGAATCAATCTTACAGAAACGCAAAGAATACTTCTGTCTTTGCCTGAGGGGTAATCTTGATCAAAGTATATTAGTTTCCTGTTCCAGAACACCTTCTTCTTTTCCCAAGCCTTGCATATAATCTCTTCTTTAGTCTTGTAGCGGAGGAATTTGATTATTATTGATCGCGGCTTATTCACTTCATCCCTGGGAGGTCTTGGGGCGAGCGCCCGGTGTGCTCTCTCAGTGTCCAGCTCCGTTGTCAAGGGGATCTCCAACGTGTCCCGTAGTAACCACCATCGATCACTTTTATCATCTTGTTTAGCACCTGCTCCACGTTTTGAACGCGGTCTTCCACCGTTTCGATTTGTGTCTCTGCCTTCGCTATTTTTTTATGAACATTAGTGAGCTCAGTTTTGAAAGTTGTGAAATTCCTGTATCCCCTCCAAAACTTTCGCCAGACTTGCCGCCTCGGTTTGGGGGAAGTTAGCTTCGCCATCTCGTAGGCCTACCTGTGTAGGTGAGCCGTTATCCGCGTTCCCTTCATCTATGGCTCTTCAGTATGCGCTTTTTTTGTTTCCATCCCTTTTTCCCATTCTTGCCCCACTTGCCATTTCAAAAATCATTGAAGAATATTATATTTGATGGTTTAATGAGGCGAAATAAGCATTTTCTCGGAGGAACCCTTATGCCATTCTGTGTGCTGACGTCACCGCAGACACTCAAAATGGATTCAATGACCACTTTCTCTAAAATCCTCTTTGTCATGACTACTTCTACATCTGTAACACGCTATATATCTGCAGCACATTTTTCAAATGCTAACACACTTTGTCCAAAACTGTTAAAAACACATTCAAAACAGAAAGATGTAAAATGTCCTGCATTTCTGCAGCAACCAGACTGAAATATACAGGAAAGCTTAGCTATGTTTATGTCTATGAGCATAGAGAACTATATTGTTTCTAATGTGGTTTAATGTAAAACTGCGTGTGTAAAGCAGGAAATGTGCTTGTATTTTAGCTGAATTGGTCCAGATGGTTGGTACATGAATTACAGGGTGTGGTCATTGTCAAGTACCAGTGTTACTATGTAAACAATTGAGAAAGACTGCATTGTAGCACTGGTATTTCAGTAATTAGTTTATTTTTCAGATTTTTATTTTTCACAAGTAAATTACTATATGCAGTGATGCAGTATTCTGCATTTCTGATTAATTCTTGTGCAGTTTTTCTCAATTGCTAACCTGCATTGTCAGAACTCTTCACAGAAGTGTATGTGGGACAAACATCATTTTTCATTGCTTTCACACAAAATGATCTCAATGACCACTTTCTCCAAAATCCATGAACTCTTTTCTCGTTACTACTTCACCTCCTGCAAAACACTGTACATCTGCAAATCAATTTTGAAATGCTACCACACTGTGTGCAAAACTGTTAACACATTCAAAACAGAATGATTACAAATATCCTGCATTTTTGCAGTAATCAGACTGAAATATATATAGAAAATCTTAGCAGAATGTT